TTTCGAAATATCGAAAAATATCGAAATATATTTCAAAAACTCCAGGCTTTTTAGGCTTTTATTTCCTCAAGTTAGTTGTTTCTTCCAACTTCGTGCATGCATACCAAATACCAAAAACTTTTCTTTGGGTTATTGCTGATTATCATAAGAGTACATGCAAATTTCAAGTCACTATAATTTTTCAAAAAACCCATGAATTGATTTAAAATTTTGCAGGTAGCCTATACATCCTTAATGAGCAATTGATTTTATGATGATACCTCAACTACAGGCTGTTACCCACGGTCTTATCGTGCTCCTACCTACCTGCTGTTTGAACTGGGAGTGGAGCGATGGCGCCACGAACATTGTTTTATCGCGCACGTTACAAATACGAAATTAGTTTATCGCAATTGTAATCTGTTTTGCATACAGTCATCAAACTTATCATCCGGCCAGTAAACTTTATCGGACGATAATTAATTCTCGTCTGTATTTGCTAATTATTGTGACTTACAAATGGAACGTTCCGTTCAGATAGTCGTATCATATTTTTCAAGATTCAATGACTGAATCTTCTGGACCAAATGACCACTCATAGTAGAGAATTTCTACAATTCCTATCTTTGGCACGCGTGCATATCTGCTCTCAGAAAAATTCCAGGATGCCTTCGCGATAAGACATTTCCGTCGTGGTCGTCGATACAGTTCCGGTTACTCATACATTTTATGCCTCATAAATTGTGTAGAGATAAACACATGCTTTACACTCTTTCAATAAGCAAAAGCTGGTAAACGTAGCAAGAATAATTACACGATTATTTTTTTTTTACTGTTGGGATACATTGTGCAACATTGAAATTTGTTTCATCACTGACTCCAGTTACTAGCTTTTATTTGAGGATAGAAACTATTCCTACAAGAATTGATTTCGTCTACCTAATTAAGAAGTTTGATGGATGAGAATCTTAATATCGGCGGGGTTGAAGTGTAACATATCGACGTTCAAAGTCGAGATACTACTAATGGCGTTCTAGCTATGATAATATCTGCGTAATAGCAACAGAAATATTTACTCCTACACGATAATAAATTCCAATCAATAAAGCCAAACACCATATTAAATTAAATAAGAACTGAAGTTCACTTAGGATTTCATTCATAAATGTACTTCGCGCTCACTCGATCTCTGATCATTGATTGAAAATGCATTAGTCAAGTTACGAATTTCCCAAGCGCTCATATACTCAGTCATACCGCGCGATATTGACATTTCACGGGTTTCATCTTCATTTTAACCTGATTAAACCTGAATCAAGGTATCGTTCACTACCGATAACATTCGTACGGGCTCTATCGTAACCGCAGCAAGCTTGCAGACATCGACCAACAGTGTGGTGCATATCAGGTCGCGTTATCATTATCGCAAGTTCTGATTTTCAAAAATAACAATCATATGTTCGATACGGTTTGATTAATAAATATCGCGGTACCGCATTTCTCGGGTGGTTCACGCGTTCGTCGGTCTTAAATGGATTTAATCGATTCAGCGGCCTGGCTGGTCCACGTGGGTCCTGACCCTCGACATCCATGACGTCAGGCTCTCGTCGCGGTCACCGACGGGGATGGATCTGTTGCTGGTATTTCTGCCCGGTTATCTGGCTCTGCCGCCGCGAACGATCCCGAAAGGTGAATCTGTGTGTGGTGTAATGCAATACTTTCTACGCGCTTTCGACGTTGTTCGTTATCATGTATCTAATTACTAATCGCGGAGGGGCTTTGGTAGCGTTTGTTCTAATTCTGGATACTAATTATTTGTGCATCGAGCCATTGGTTCCGCGTCCGCGGGGATGAATAATTGACAAAAATAACGGCGTATTTAAAGGAAGATGACGAAGCGACGTAAGAAGAGTCAATCAGGGAAAATCGAAATCATCTGGTAGCGAATCGGCGGGCAAATAAACTATAAATATTTAGCTAACTCTGAGGTCGTTTCGAAGCCGGCTTATTGCTCTAGCGATGGAAATAGAACCATGAACGAACGATCTCTGCGCGGAAGGAGAAAGTCTCGTCACTAATTACGGTGACATCATTATTTATTCTTACTTTCGTTCAATCTCTCCCCGACTCGGGGATGACCGTTTGTCTCGGAATCGTGTCAGTGGACCTGTTGAACACCGCGAAGTTCGATTCTCATAGAAAGTTTAATTCGCACGCGTCGCCCGTGGAAAATATGAAAATCGAGCATTGGGAATCGGGTCAGTGTGCCAGTGAGTATCGCGGAAGAAAAACGATCTCTTCACCTGCGATATTCTTCGTTCCTCTCTGAACACACATTTGTCAAAGTTTCAGAAACTTTCCCTCGACTCTCGATTTTCCTTCGATCAAATCTTCATCAGGGAAATTAAACTGAACATCAAGCTAAACTATTGGAATTTCGTTTCCAATTATGTAAATGTGTATAAACGAGGAGGAAAAGAAAAACTCTTAAATTACTCGTACATTAAATTATTCATGTATTCCACACATTGATCCTAAATAGAGATAGAATGAATATTTGCAAATTTTTTTGTGACCATCTTTATTCGTACACGATATTAATCTCGTCATTCTCCTTTATGACCATTTAACGCCGAGTTTTAAGAGAAATAAATTGCCGGGTGACAGTGACGAGCACCCACAGAGGAAGCTGACGTATCAATGCGTTAACCAGTAAAATCTGCTTGATAGCAATGTTAATGGATAATGCGAGTGACACCACGCCACGCTTCCTTCTTCCTCGTGCTCTCTATACTTTCCGTTTAGATTCATGCTAAGTAATTTTTTGCCTACTCGAAAAATCGAACGATTTACGACTGAGACGCATATATAGCATCGAACCTGCGTTAAGCGTCTGAATTGCGACTAAAGTTCGTTGCATTCATCATTGTCGAACAGGAACGTTGGCTTTTATTTAGTCACGAGTGCAACGCGTGCACCCGGTCGCATAATTTTATCAAAGAGGAGAGCATGGATTCGTTCTCCTTGTTTCTTCCTATCGGTTAGACCGTTCCCACTGTTTTCGTGCAACTGGGAAACTTGCCAATGGTAGGATAATCGGTTTTAGCGATGCGGACCACTCTCAAAATTCTTTTACTCCTTCAAATGTTGCCGATTTCGATGCTTCGAAGCTTCTTCTATTATTGTTTCATCGCCGTTATCGAGGATGAAAAGACGTGGAGATAATGGGTCTTCGTTTTATCGCTAGTAAAATAAATTTTGCTCCTCGAGCAAAACAAGTCCGGATTTTGACGAGGGACGCGCATCTGCGTAATCGATTAAAGCCGGATCATTCCTACAGTTTGCAGCTGTAGCAGGTGCAAGCCTTTTTCGATCTCATCAACCTGTGGTTAAATCGTTGACCGTAGGAAGATTCTAAAAGTAAACTCGAATTGGATGACGAGAATGTTTCAGGAATAATCTTTATTGGTGGATCTAATCATTATTGTATTTTAAATAATAAATTCTTAAATCCTGAGTGAAAATGAGCATCGGAATTACAGCTTGTGCGATTTTGTTTTTTTTTCTTTAGAAATGTTCGACTATTTGTTTGACCAGTTTACTTCAACTACATTGGCATATACGAATGCCATTATAGTAATTTCTAAATGGAACATGAAATTGTTATTTTAGAAACTTTGCTTAACTAATTTCTACAGAAGTTATATTGGCTCTTTTAACACCAAGACAGAGACACATTCTACAGAGAGGAGATAAACTGTCGCGCCGGTTACATTGAACCATGGCCTGTCAACGCCCTTCGCGACACTCCGCTCGCCAATTGATAAGCAGTCGGCGAAATTTCACCGTGTCTCCGGAGTATTCCTCGCACGAACCTTCGCCGAGTACTTACACGTACCCGGAGTGCACGCTCGTTGCCAATGTCTTCCCGATCGAATATTCTCAGTTACATTGAACTGCGTTCATCAGAAAATAACAAATCTGACTTGTAAACTTTCGTGGAGCTGCGATTCGAAGTAAAATGTGTTTAGGAACGAGAGTTGAATCGACCTCGTGCAACGCAAACAAATTTTACAGGCTGATTCTAGTAGCCTAATCCATTTCGATCGTTCGTACACTTGTACAATCTGTATGCCCAATTTTTTTCAGATATTGTATCAATGCGTCAAGAATTATATGGAATATTGTATGAATTTTTATTCTAACGCTTATAGCCAGCAGTGTACGATTCAAATATTTTGTAGAGGAAAGTACACACAGTAGAATCAGCCTGTACACGCGTGTCCGAGTTCACGGCGCGGCCACCGCAAGGCGCCAGCGCATTCCCAGAGTGCGACGGTTTTACTCTGGCTCCTGAGTCTGAAATCGGCCGCCGTACAAGGCGGTTCGCTCTCCGTTTATAATTCCGATCCGACTGACTGACACGATCAGGCTTTACACAGTTTGAAACAGTACTTATAGTGATTAAGATCGGAGATCATCGTGTACGGTGTCTTTAACAATTTTTTATAGATCGTTGAATGGAATGTAACGTTGATTAATATTTTTATCAACGACGATCGATATCGATCGATGAGATGAACGGTAATCTATTGTATGTCGTGTGTCCTGTATATTGATCACGTGTGGTGATATCAATAGTGGATCGATCGCGCGGTGCATCCCTGGTCGAGGTTATTGAACTGTCGAGATCTTTCATCTGGATCGTCGGCGGTCTCTTCGGAAGCTCGTGGATTATCTCGGGTTAATAATTACGAATCGAGCGTCAATGTCAGCTTCGAGAGTGCACAGTGAGGGAGTCGCGTGGTGCGCGCGGTGTCAGTCGTGGTTAACTTGCTCCTGAAAGTCCTCCGTCGAGACGAAGTGAAGGGGATCGAGATCTAGAACGAGAATTCCGTTGGCTCATCGAATCCGGGGACGCGCGGCGCCAAGCATGATTTTCACCGGTAGGTCGGTGGACGCTCTCGACGAGGTCCACGGTGGCAACGTACAGACGGAGACTCGTCGGGAGGTGAGTGCGGTCGCCATAGCCGCAGGATGGTTCTCCAGTCTGCGCAGACCCGGTAAAAGGAACAAGAAGGGCTACCAAAAACAGGCCAAGAGCGCATGGGACCTTACCACATTATCCACGGTTAGTTGAACGTTCTGTCTGGTTGCGCCGACTTCCTCGTAACGATTTCTTAACCGAGTTCGAGTTTCCTCGGACCTCACCAACCCTTTTCATATACCGATCTTGCTCGGGAACGCATTCGAATCTTGGAGAACCGAACTATCTTCGCGCCTATTTTTGAACAGTAAATAAGTACCCAGTGTGAAGCATATCGTAGCACGCCGTTTTGAAAATAGATCCGTGTACCGAACGCAGCCAACGGTGTCAACATCTCTTCTTAATTTCCTTCCATCTTTATCTTCTTTTTTTATTATTATGTTCAACGAGTAATATCTCTGTCTTTCCAGTTTCGTTGGAAATGATTTTAATTGCGAGACGATTGAAAGGCAGTTTTTAATGATCCGTATCGATTGATTCGGATACCGGCAAGAGACGATTCTCGAATAAATTCGCGGGCATGGTATTAGGAGCAGTGAAACGGGAATAAAATAAGAGTAAGGTGGCGCTCGGAAGTTGGCCGAGCGGCCAAATTTATTTCTGAGGGAGTTAACACCGACCCGGTATGCACCGATGCACTTCTCGGAGCTTGTTTTCGTTTCCGTCAGAGCGAACTTAATTGCAGCTCGTTCGACTAATGGCACGGTTTTTCGAGTTCAAAAGGGAACTGGCAATTGCGGACGATGAATTCATTCGACTGGCGATACAGTTTGCCTACCTAGTTATTCTATACGTGACTGCCTAACTATGTTTTTCTTTCATTCATATACATGAATGAACCCGATCGTCTGTAATGGAAAACGGATTTCTTTACGCTTGTGCATCATTGCATGTTGCTTGACGTCAGGTATCGAAGGTCGTTCGAACGGACAGTGAATCAGGTTGATTTATTTATCTACCAGAGTCGGAATACAAACGTGGTCTGCGCGTACAAACGCGGGTTCAACTTTGACCGTGCAAACGACCAATTAACTACAATTATCGCCGATACTTGGCTCGCAATGTCCGCTACCTCTCTTTTTTTTTTGGCCAGAAAAACCCGCGTCGTTTCCATCTAATTATGAGCTCACGGAGCCGTGGTCCAATTACGTAAGTTGTTAACGAAGCGGGAGTACGCCTCGATAGTCGTCGATAATTGAATCAGCTCCCTCGCGGATTCGTGGTAACGGGATGATACGTTTGTTTTTCCTTTGATCGCGGAAATTCGTAGAAAATTATAAGTGTAATCGATCCTCTGCAGAGCAAAATTCCAAGAAAATGTTAATCAGAAATGTTCAAACATGCAACGTACAAATGAAATCTGAATGGTTTTTCTTCGAAATAGGGATAAGTTCTATCTGATGTATACTGTAACAGGAAATTGTCGTAGTACAGTGTCGAAGTACGGTTCCGAGTTTGATTCGAGCGTGATAGGGAATTGGTAGATGTGGAACACGTTGAAGTTGATTGATTGGTATCATCGAGCGGCTGGCGACACGCGAGGGATAGAAGGAGGAAAGGAAGAGCCGATACGTCGGCTCTTCCTTCTTATTCCTGTTTATGGATTTTCTCGCATGTATCGGGTGACACGTGGAGATTGCGTAACGCGGTATAATACGTACTGGTTATTCCGCTGCCTCGTGGTCTCTGGTAATATTTTTGGGTTAATGGGGTGGCCGAGCGACGGGCGGACGAAACGCGGACAGAAAGATTCAAAGGAAACGGAGTCATTTCTCTTTTTTGTATCGTTGCTTTTGAGTTGGCGGATCGATAAAACTGTCGCGTTTATTCGCGAACTTCGCTGACTTATCATAAATCTGACCGAGGGAAATGTGCACCGATCGGTTTCCGTCGTCCGCTCGCACGAAACAATTTTACATTAACTGCATTTCATGTTGCCATTGTTCTAGAATTATTTTTGAACGGCTGTCGTTTAAAATTTCCAACTGCGAATAATTGAAAACGATTCTGTATGTACACGGATGGTATTGAAGCAAATTTATGAAACGATTCTTGTTAGTATCTCTTTTGTCCGAGCTAACGTGTCGAGCTTTGAATTTCATAATAAATTAATCCTCCGTGCATGGTCACATCTTTAAGTTCGATCAATCTATGAATTAAGAGACAACTTCCGTGCACGATGTTGAGTTTCACCTTTGCTTCGCTTACGTAACGCAGCATCCATCGCAAAATTCGACTGTCCGAGTTCTCTACTATCAAAGATAGAGTTTGCTTTCAGATTAGATTGGATTTTTATACAAAATGAATTATCTATAATATCAATTTAGATAAGAATTTTTCATTAAGTGTATTAGTTGCATTATTTTTTATATTATATGTATTTATATAAAATTTATAATTGGGCGTTATGAACCCTGAAGCTTATCTTAGATTGATTGTCTAACGCGACGACATCACTTTTTGTTACGATATCGGAAGCATAGATCATTCGACAAACAGTCGTTCGATGTTGACTCGTAAGACAAAAATTCAACTATCTAACGCGTGACAATTTTACTGCCGGCTGGAGCGCCGCGACTTCTTATCTCTGGCCATCGTGTACGTTCCAATCAGAGATGTTTACCAGTACAATCTTAATCACCGGTTTGACGTCAATAGTTCGCGATGATACAGCAGCGTCATCGATGATTACGTAAGGTGAAGCGATGAAACAGGGTCATTGTCGTCCGGTTAAATGACCAGAATAATTGGTGCAATTCGGATCCGATCGTTTGGCAAGCAAATTGGCCAGGAACGCGGCTACTGCATATAAGCGGGACCAAAATCTCAAACTCGCGAAGCATCCTTCAACCTACGCTTCCCTAACGATTCCGAGTGTTACCATATCGAACCGTAATACGCGCGAATTGCTCATAGTTTGCCAAGATAATACAATAATTCCTTTCCAGAAATCGATGTCTGACGCACTGCACATCTCATCGTTAAAACGTAGCTAGGAGTCAGAATCGTGAGAAATTATCCAAACATGGAAACATATTTACCAAAATCCTTCTCGAATTTATCGAAAATATAAACATTTCATAAAAGTATAATTGGGAAACTCAATCTGAATGATCATGACAAAATTTTGCATAGAAATCTGCAATTTATTAAGTACAGTGTCCTTCGGTATTCGTCGAATCTCTGATTATATCAGAGTAGCTGAGAAAAGAGAGGACAAAGGAACCAGATTCTGTTTTAAAGCTCTTTCCGCGGTTCGCGACGACCACTTGGGTGCATCTGGGTTATAAGGCTCCTTTTCGGACAGCGGCGAGTAACAAAAAAAAAGAATGTCGTTGGGTGCACGCCAGGCTAAGCTCCGTCCCGGCGATTCGGTACGAGAATGGAACGTGTAATTGGATAAATACGTGAATGAGGGGCGCTAAGATGGCTTGAATTCATGGAATTGGAGCACCCACGTTGAAAGACCCGTTAACTATAGCGCAGGAAAATCCTGTTTCATTCAGCGATCGCGCAGGACGATAATTAGGCAGTAGAGATAGCGAGCAAATATGAAAATGAGCTACAGGAAATGTATGAATTCGAAGCCGTGGCGCTCCGAAGTTTGCTAGATGAATTTGTGAAAAGGGATTATACGGATGAGGACTCAGAATATTGTAGAGACGTTTCTAAGCGCGAGTAATAAGCCAGATGGCGATGAATAAATAATCATGGATTTGTAACTGAATATATTTCAGGCAAATAGAACCGAGTCAGTAAGGAGAATTAATGCGATTTTTTGTATATAATTTAATGATTCTATCAAACCGTATCGTGTATGAATTCATTAAATGAATTTGTCCTTGTACTTTGACAAACTGAAACATGTTCCTGCTACGAAGTCAATGACCAGTGGTGAATTTTAGATATCTTGTAGTGAGTCACTCTTAAATATGAAAATAGGAAAGGAGGTGAGGAAATGTTTGAATTCAAAGGAGAGATATTCCAAAGTTTGTCAACTGAATTTATGAAAAGGGGAACAAGAATATGATAGAGACTTCTAAGCGTGAATAATGGAGCTGATGACAATGAATAGATATATGCGGAGATCTTCAAATAAGTAGACCTCAACAAATATAATTTTGAATTTAGTCATGTTGGGCCAAGATCTTCAAGGCTACATACGCTGTCACTGTCGGGGACACGGTGTGTGTACTTCGCAACATTGGCATCAGTTACCCTATTATACATGCTTGCAACACAATACATAATAACGTTGTATATCTGTTGCTACAAATAATCTCTCGTGACGCACACAAGTGATTAATTTGTTCTTTGATTACGTTCATTATTTGCCTTCGGTTATACATACAACTTGCTACTTGACCCTCGACAAACATGTATTGAATTTACTCAAAGTTCTTATGATCAGTTTTATACAGTATTGAACAGAAATTGATTTCCTTCCTTTAAATAAAAGTTCCTTCTCGAATTTATCGAAAATATAAACATTTCATAAAAGTATAATTGGGAAACTCAATCTGAATGATCATGACAAAATTTTGCATAGAAATCTGCAATTTATTAAGTACAGTGTCCTTCGGTATTCGTCGAATCTCTGATTATATCAGAGTAGCTGAGAAAAGAGAGGACAAAGGAACCAGATTCTGTTTTAAAGCTCTTTCCGCGGTTCGCGACGACCACTTGGGTGCATCTGGGTTATAAGGCTCCTTTTCGGACAGCGGCGAGTAACAAAAAAAAAGAATGTCGTTGGGTGCACGCCAGGCTAAGCTCCGTCCCGGCGATTCGGTACGAGAATGGAACGTGTAATTGGATAAATACGTGAATGAGGGGCGCTAAGATGGCTTGAATTCATGGAATTGGAGCACCCACGTTGAAAGACCCGTTAACTATAGCGCAGGAAAATCCTGTTTCATTCAGCGATCGCGCAGGACGATAATTAGGCAGTAGAGATAGCGAGCAAATATGAAAATGAGCTACAGGAAATGTATGAATTCGAAGCCGTGGCGCTCCGAAGTTTGCTAGATGAATTTGTGAAAAGGGATTATACGGATGAGGACTCAGAATATTGTAGAGACGTTTCT